CTTCCCTTCAAGGCTCAGGGGTCCAAGATTATCTTCTGTGTCTGCGTTAATTGGTTTCCCTTTTCTTTGTTGAAGAGGGTCTGTGCAGTCCTTCTGCCTAGTCTGCCATCTTGCTGGAACTCCTCTGACACAAAATTTTTGTTTTGTTTTTAAATGTAAATTGTTAACTGATACATAGTCCCCAACATATGACAACATATTCAAGTTATGACAAACCACACTAATGACTATCCTACATGTTGTTATTATGTCTTATTGTTAGTAATATGTACTACATGCTTCTTTGCTTCTTGTTGTTGTTATGTGCCGTTGAGTCGGACCTGACTCATAGTGACCCCTTCTTGGGTTTCCAAGGCAGTATCACTACAGAAGTAGATTTCCCAACCTTCCTTCTGAGGAGTGGCTGGTGGGCTTGAACCACCAGCCTTCTGGTTAGCAGTCAAGTGCCTTAGGCACTACACTACCAGAGCTCCTGTACTACATGCTATGTTGCAGCATATAATTTGTTAATGTTATCATCCTCAGATATTCATTTGCAGATACTCAGTTTTATGATTTACTGCTGCATAGTAGGCTATGACTTGGTCTACAATGAATCAGTGTTGGGAATCAAAACAGACACAAAATTGGGTAATATTCGACTCTAATGACAGACAATACTTGAACTGTGCACACACCCCACAGCCATTTTGACTCCGACTTCATTGTTATAACACTGACACCAACTTCATCTTAGACCAGGCCTATAAACCAAACCAAACCACACTTATCATGATTGAGTCAATTCTGTCTCATAGCAACCCCATTGGGTTTCTGAGGTGGTAAATCTTTATGGAAGTAGATTGCCCCGTCTTCCTTCCATGGAGCAGCTAGTGGGCTGGTGTGATCTAATTGAGTGTTTTGTACCATAAGACGAATCTGTTGTTAATTTGGAGCTGAGTTTTTCCTAAGTTATAACACCTGCATTACTTATACCCCCAACAACATGGCTAGCAGAAATAGTCATGCCACTGAAAGTTCTAATCCAA